AAAATCGAAATTGAAAACTCGAAAAATAAAAAACCAGAAATCGTTTACAAAATGAAAGTAAAATCATCCCCGTTTTCGCAGATGGGCCTATAGCCGGAACATCGTCTCAACCAACTTAAATTCCAACTAAAAATAGTTGCGACAAACTGAATTTCCTTACTCGATCAAATAATTGGACATTTTAAAGTAATAGTATCCAACATCACACACAATCAAGTCATCTTAAAGTCTAGAATTAAACAGATGGGAGCTACAATTAGAAGATCAGAACTGGAAACAATCGAAGCTCATGAATACTATCGAATTTTCATAGTAATTAACCAAACTACATTCTTGTCAATGATATGTCCTCCAGTCGATGATACTTTGGCAAAAATAGGGGTTGCCATAACGTTCTCAAAAATCTATATTCTTCATAATTCAATAATTAGTCCAATCGAACTTCTAAGAGAAATTAAACAGTTAGATTCCCAACTACACAATGACAAGTTACTAATTAATAATAATTAAGCAACTTTCAACAAATAACAAATTTAGGAAACTTAATAAAAATTAAAAGCTTTATTAAGGAATTCGAATTAATTTTTATTTGAAAACTTCCATTAGTCGAGGCGGAAACATAGCAATATTACAAATTGTTCCCTTCTCCAACTTCCAAAAACAATTCATGTCTAGTCAACATACCCTTTAAACGACACCTGGCCTTCAGTGAGAGAAAGTACTCATTTGACAACGAACAATGTCTAGAAATACAAACTAATCAATTGATTTGCAAAAGAGCAATCAGCCAGACGATAGAAAATCATCCACCTTGCAGTGTTCAACTTATAAAATTTCAATCAAACGTCAGAACTTGCCATTCACTCAAAGTTAAAATTGACAAAATCCAGTCGATCAAAGTAGCCGATGGAAAATGGTTAATACCATTTAACCATAAATTAAAGACCGTCAAGACTCCATTCCAATCAAGGGATCATAACTAATCGATGGGTTGACCTGGTTGCACCGCTCAATTCAAATCACTAATATTTGAAAATTTTGAGTTAATGCAACTACAATTTTTAGAAATCAACCTACCCACATGATTTCACAGATAGCATCTCATCAACATTTAATTAATATTGTAACACCGTACTATCTCTCGATCATCTGGCACCGAAGATCTGAGACCCAGGAAAAAAAGGCCCAGACACCAACTAGCCCAATAGGGCAACAGGTAGCAAACGGCGTAAGTTGTAAGTGTGGTTATGTAAAGTTAGTAGTAATCACAGATCACAGCGGTACTCTGCTGCTCCAAGTCGCCAACAACTGTTGAGCAGGAAGAGCTGCAAGGCCTCATCCAGCTTAGCGCGTCGTTCTTGCGCCAAATTCTTCAGTCCGGCATATAGCTTGTCCAGTTGCGACTGTTTAAGAGCGACTTGCTCGGCCAAAGGATGTCAGGGCATTTACAGTTTTACCCAGTCCTCTGATGGTGTCCGCATAAGCTTCAACGGCCGCTTCCAGATTTTCGTACTTCTTCATGAAGTTCCTGGCGCTGCACCATCATGTAGAGCTCCTGCTTGCTCATCCAGCTCTCGGCGTCATTGGCATCAAACAGATACTGCTGCGCCCGCTCGTTCCTCAGCAAGTTGGCTCGTCTATTATCGATGGCTTCCTTTTCCCTAATTTCATTTGCGCTTAACCGTCCATGCTCTCTGGTGGTGTCAACAACAGATACGTTCTGTAATGACGCCACTGCTAAAAGAGTCTCCAAATTCCATACAGCGTTTATGGATTCTACATCAGGCTGAGCTTCGGCTGGCGCATTTTCTTCAATGGGAATGCTTTCTTCTTTCGGTAATTCTGGGTCGGAAAAGTGCTCAACTTCAGTAGCGATTTTAATTAAATTGGCGTCTTCATCTAATGCTGGCAAATCATGTACGGGTTTATCGCTAGTTGACCCATTGCACTCAGAATCAAATTATTCTTCACTCAAACAAACTACTTTATCAAAGCCCGGTTCCACAGTTTTCCTTCTGAGCATTATTTTGGGTTTAGTTTTCGCTGATTCGAATTGAATTTTGCGCATTTTTCTGCATAGTTACATACTCATGTTCCACTGGCCTAGTAATGTCTTCGAGTTTATCACTCACAGTTTTATAAGCTCCAAAATTGCTATACTTTCCGACTTTACCACTTCCTTCACTTTCGCCGCTGTTAATGTCTCTTCCACTACTGCAGAAATGTCCACGATTTCAGAGTTTTCCAAATCATCAGTCACTTCCTCGATGTTCTTTAGTTTGCCTTCAACGGTTGTCTTCAGGTCTTCAAATTTCTTAGCGGTGTTGTCCATTTTATCTCTCATTTTGTTCACAACTTTGTTGTCTTCCATTTTGTCATTCATCCTGTAAATTTTTCTTCCATTTTCCTACTGTTGTCGCTCATTTTGTCCATCATTTTCCTACTGTTGTCGCTCATTTCGTCCATCATTTTCCTACTGTTGTCGCCCATTTCGTCCATAATTTTTCTACTGTTGTCTTCCATTTTGTCGCTCATCTGCATGAGCAGTGCTATCAAAGGGGTTCTCCATTGCAGGGTCTTCCTTCTTTGATTTACTTCTTGTTTTCATCAAAATTCAACTTGGATTCTGGTAAATCCCACTTCTGTCACCAAATGTACCGTGGATGGCCGAGTATCGAACTCTTTCTTCAGCTTCCAACTTTTATTCCACTCGGTGTAACTTTAACTACGAAACAGGAACAAACTAACTTCAAAATTACCGTCAACTTCACAAACAATAACAACAACACACGGAAAACTCACTCTTCAGACGCGCGGGATTTAACCTCTTCTGCACCCGGTCGCTGCTCTCACTTCACTCTCTCTGTCTGGTTCTCGTCGTCTCTTATATAGTTTTCTCCAGGTAATCGAGACGGTTCTCGAAATCTCCAGACCAGGTTCGCGTTTGTCAGTGTCATATTTGACAGCAAATGGGGCGCAAATGGGGCCCCATTTACTGAAATACTATGAATTCCCCCATTCGAAACGTGAGTACCCCAGGCCATTTCCGTTACAATGTTAATACATTTCTAGACGAACTTATAGCATCAAGGCTAAAAGAAATCTAAAAACCCAAAGGTTAATACCCACATAATTTCTAATGTCCAACTAAGACCTTCTATTTTGGAACATAGTACAAAACCCCAAATTATCTCAAGTGACAACAGTGTTCACAGCGTTAATGCAGATCAAAACTACTCGGAAATGACCCTTCTAGATGAAATCATCAATAATAAACCAACAGAATTGATAATTAAAAAGTCACCGTACGATTCATATACTAAAACATCTCAACAAGGATTTGATGGAAACTAAATTATTCACGCAACATTGCCTTTAAGCATTCCAAAAATTTGTCTTTTTAAAAGAGTATTTAACATCCCCTACTATGCATGTTTACTTCGATTGAAAAAAACGTGCCGGGGGAGCCTGTAACCCCTAGGCGCCTCGTCCCCAGGTGGCGGATAGGGGAACATTCGCCAGGCTTGCCTGGTGCCCAATTCTCGAGATCGAGAGAACGTGAACGATCCCATCGCCGATGTGATCATTCCCTTCCCTGCCCTTTCTACTATGGTTCGAAAACCGTATTCTCGAATGCATAGGAAACGATGAGACGACACTAAAATTCTCCGCGATTTTAGTTTCGTCCGAATTTTAGTGTCGTCTGAATAAACTACAGGCTACCCATTGGTATTACGTCAGCATCATTCCCTGGGCCGTTACCGCCGAAATATGAAGGCCATCCGACAGTGACGTCACGAAGACCGATTCGGACTGTAAGTAGGCCGAACAGAGTCAGGAAGACGCTAATTTATACAACACGTGCTTGCATTTTGGCGGTGGTTTATTAGGCTTGTAATCGACTGCATGCTCTAAAATTAAGCTCCAAAGTGTGTATTGAGTGTTTTATATTTGTGTTTTTTAAATACATATGGTAAAAATGCCCTATAA